TTACATGAATTATCTCTATATAGCAGCCATCTAGCCACTGATGATCCATGTGAATTTTTTTAAGTCATTTCCTGGTCCGATTTCTCCCAACTCCTTTAGTTTCTGATGTCTCCCTGTCTCTTACTGGTGAGAGCAGGGTCCCAGGCCTAGACCTAGGCAGCACACTCACAATTTAGCAAACGCTAACTTTATCCCAACAGGGAAATTCCATAAGGAGAAAGAAGAGCAAATGAATAAGCCCGGCAGACAGAAAAAGGCCAGGCATCCAAGAGATCCAGGATGGCGTTTCTAGACACATTCCACCTCTTTAGGTTTAAAAGAAAACTTTTGACATGATTAGTAACTTATTTAGAGCCTCAATATTCCAAGGTTTGAGAAGCTAACACACTGAGAAATTTAATTTAGATTTCCTTAACACGCTCTCTCATGATAAGAGAGCATTCAGTGTATCAGTGTATGAATGCTATGCAACAGGACTGCCAAATTGCAACACAGAATGGGAGAAATTTGTCATTTTGAAATGCTAAGGGAATTCTTACTAACAGCTTTCTCATCTTGTAAAGCTATTATTTTTCTGAACCATAATATGATTTATAAATCTCAGCTGAGTTTTATACTTTTGATGGGAACAGACTCAAAATGAAATGCATTTTCTCAGGATATAAATTCCCTCAGGAACTGACCCAATGAAGAATAAAAAGAAACATCTTCTGCAACCAAGCGTACCAGATCCTGGTCTCTGTTGGCATATCTGTAGGTGAATGCTGGTCTTCTCCAGAGTTACGGGCTCAGCCTGCTTCTCTTCTCACTCTGCACACTTCCCCTGGGTGACACCCGCCACTTCAAAAGCTTCACCTCTTACTTCTGCCCCTACTCCCCACCCCTCACATCTCTCCTGAGACACAGGTCCCTATGTCTAATTACCCACTAGACAGACCACCATCATGCCCTATAGACCACACAATCTCAAATTCTCTTGTTTTCCCGAAACTCTGTTCCTTCTCTTTGAATCCCAGTACGGCAACAATACTAGAAGTAAGATAGAAGTAAGATACAGCTCCTGCTCTCAAGAAGCTTATAAACTAGCACAGAAGATAGAAAAGTAAGTAGGCAGTTACAGTGTAAGTTAATAAATACTGTGGTAGGAGAAACTCAAGAGGCTGTCGCTCTCCTAGAAGAGTACCCAACCAAGCAGCCAGTCAAGAAACCAATCTAATTAGGGTATGAGTTCTGGGTAACTGAAGTGTGGTGTGTGTGTGTGTGTGTGTGTGTGTGTGTGTGGTGTTCACATATGTGTTGAGGAGTTCCATGGACAGAGGCCCATAGTGAAGCAAATATAGGATATGGCTTGGACAGAGTGCTCCAGAGGGATTAGATAAAGATGAAGCCAGATCAGAGTAAGCCTTGTATCCCACATTTGATCTGCACAGAGTTTGAAATCCAAAGGGCATAATACAGAGGTGTGGCCAAGCATGGGCATGGAGATGTATGCTTGGTCTTCATGGAGAGCTTCAGCTGATCATGACCCAGACTCCAGGGAGGCCACCAAAGCCTCAGTTCTTCACAGTTTGTGCCATGAGATGCTAAAATGGATCCAAGGAAAATCAATTTGTTTTTTTTTAAATTATTTTTTAACATTTATTTATTTTTGAGACAGAGACAGAGCATGAGCTGGGGAGAGGCAGAGAGAGAGGGAGACTCAGAATCTGAAACAGGCTCCATGCTCTGAGCTGTCAGCACAGATCCCGACATGGGGCTCAAACCCATGAACTGTGAGATCATGACCTGAGCCGAAGTCAGATGCTTAACCAACTAAGCTACCCAGGTGCCCCCAAGGAAAATCAGCTTGAAGTTACATTCATAATAACACTTATCTCTCAGGCCATGAGAGGTAATTAGCTTTTATATGTAATTATCTTTAATCCCTTACAACCACACTGGGTGTAGCACAGGCCATGAGCTTTGGAGGTAGATGGGAAACTTCCAGATCGTGGGCATGTTACTTAACCCCCCTGCACTCATCTGTGAAGGAGAAAATAGCTACAAACCCTCAACTGAATCCTTCTAAAAATAAGAGTATTTTGATAAGTTTGCTAAACTTGACTGAAACTGATGTGAAGCTATATAAAGTTTTTATTTTCTCTCTTACTATGAATTTTCTTACATTTTTCTTCAGAATATTGGTGTGTTTGATTATAGGGACATTAATGGTATATTATCATCTTAACTTTCTAATACCTGAAAAGCTCTAAGGAATGCATCTAACCCAGGGTTTTGGATGAGGAAGGAATCTGAGGAGCTGTAATAAATGCAAAACATAAGATATATAAGGTAATGTACATAAAGGGTGTCCCTAGCACAGTGACAGACACATAGGAAGGACTCAAGATTACAACTATTATCAAAAAAAGTGGGTAAGCTGTCATAGACCTCATAAAACAAAGCATGAAGGAAATGAAAATATCTTATAGGAAATACACATTTTCTATCTCTAGTCCTGCACATTTTTACAATGACACTTTTGAAACTTTGGAGTGACTTAATTTTTCTAAGCATGATCATAGGCTTTGCCATTCTCTTAGTCCCAGCAGGAGGGAGAAAATTCTGAGTATTTGTTACAGATGCCAGCAAAGGCAGGTTTGGGGAGATTCTGGGAAGAGAAACAGCATCTGCAAGAGCCCAGTAGAGTACAAGAGGTATTCAGGTAGGGGAAATAAACTTCTCAAACTCTGGAACCCAAGGGCAGTGACACAAAATGGCAACAAACAATGCCAGAGGGGGTTTTGGGAGAAATTTTATGAAGAGCCTTGAATACAATGGTAATTTTGTATTTTATCCTGTAGATCCTGGGTTTTCAAGAGAATTCACTTTAGCAAGAGAATCTTATTGAAGTAAAATGTAATTTGCATGGGAAGTGTACACTACAACCACACACCAACTCATTTTTACCCTATGGCCCAAGTGTTCTTCTTAAAAGAGCACATCTGATAATCTCATTCCTCAGGACACACTTGTCAAAGTTATCTCCTCAGAAGGTAATATAAAATGCCAGCCTCCTGCAGATATGGGGTGATGTGGCCTCATGCACCTCCCCGGCTCATCGCACACCACCTCTCTGACCTACCACTGGTCATGAGCCATGACCCTACCACCTTAAGGACCTTTAAAGGATGTCCTCTCCTTTGTTTCTTCCTCCCACTTGCCCTAGTGAGCTCCTACTCTTTGCAATCTAAGGGAGGGAGTCTTTTCTGCAGGGAGTCTTTCCTGGCTTGGTCAGGCTCCACTGTGTTACATTCTCCCACACCCTGGAGACTTCTCCATTCAGCACTTAATCACAGTCCTGTTAAATGATTAGTTGTGGATTTAGCTGTTCGGTGCTTTCTCTCCATTCTGCTGTCAACTTTGAGAATGGGAAACAGCCCCACCTGTCTTGTTCATAACAGTGTCCCTAGCCAGTGTCTGGCTACTAAGCAGGCCTCCAACAACTATTTGTTGAAAATATACCAATAAATACAACAGGAAGACAAATGGGGGACGGGCTGCTTTGGTAGGAAAGAGGATGAAGCCCTTAGTTAAAGCCAGAATGCCAGGTCTGGGCTACTTCCCACAAATCCTTCTCCTTGCCCTTTACAGCATTCTCTGAGGTACTTCCTGGTGGGAAGTACACTCAGAAGTGGTAGATAATGGGATGCTCTGACTAATAAAGGCTTTGCTATTTGGCTTTGGGATGAGTATGCTCAAGAGAGTTTTCTTGGCCTGAGGAAACTTTCTGCTGGATGGTCAACAGAATGGATAAATGATCAAAGTTGCTTTGCGGAGACAGGAAGCAGATTTCATTCACTTATTTCAACATCTGGTCTCTCATGGGTAAGGAAAGACTGTAAAAGACATCTGTAGGCTGGTCTGAATTTTATTCTTTTGTGCAAGACTGGGTGTAGAGTAGAAGTTTCTTTGGAAAGTAATCTTGGCCTAGGCCCACGCCATCGAGAAAACTCCCTCTGTACTCTGCAGAGTCATGCATACAGGGGCCCATGCCTGGGGCTGCAATCATGTGACACAGGACAGATCATATGACTGTATCACTCCTTCAGTGTGCCTTGCTGTAGTGGAGCCAACGATCCCTTTCTCTGTTAAATAGGGCAAATCAAAGTAAAAAATTATGTTTTGATTGAGTAGCATTGCTGAAGAAAATCAATAGAGAGGGCTAAGATCCACTCGTGCTGTTTCTTTGTAAAATGTTATAGACTTCTCATTACAGGGACGCTGGGTTTCAGGATTCCATGTCTGCATGGCCAGCTGAAAATATACAGCAGAGTGGGTTAAAGGAGGAGTAGTATGTCTGTGCAGAACTAGATTAACGAGAAAATACGGACTGGCCAAAAGTGATTTTTCAACCTCCAAATATTCGTCCCAAATTCTTAAGATCCCATGTTTGACATGTTTAAGAGAGAAATATAACAGCCGAAATTGTCTTTGTTCAGAATGTAGGAGACAGTTTCGTCTAGACTTTCAGGAAAGCTAGAGAATGACATTTTCAGAACAAATCAAAATATATTTTTAAATTCTTTTTTTTTCCCCCTTCAGGAAAAGGATTTGACATGCTTTTCTGATTTGAATTTGGTTGATCTATAATTGGCTTCCATCGTCTGATACAAAACTAGAATAAAATGAGCCATTGAGAAAAGGTACTAAAAATGCCATCAGTTCTTTCTTACCTTAACATTAATATTAGCACCACCACTGACAACATAATAATTAATATTTATGGAGTGGCTTCTCAGTATGTTCTGTGCTCCTGACATGGTTTTTTTTTTTTTTTTTTAATTCTCAGAGCAATCCCACAAGGTTTACGTTATTATTAATGACAGTTTTTCAATGGAGACACTGAGGCACAGAGAGTTGGGGAGACTCACCCAAAGCCACACAGCCATAGGTGTCTGGGCAAGGATCTGACATCCCTCAAACCTGCCCTCCTCACCATTGTGCTTCTCTTCCAACAGGGCCAGCATTGTACAGAAACGCATCATTTATTTTCAAGACGAGGGCTCTCTGACCAAGAAACTTTGTGAACAAGGTAAGAACTGCCAGTGGAGGAGGGCCAGATAAGTGGAAGGTGGCTCATTCAGTGCAGCCATCCAGTGGCAAGAATTCGGTGATGGTGCTTTCTGAGTTTCTCCGGGTTCAGCTTCCTCACGTGGCACTGATTTTTAATCTGGCTGTGTGCTGTGGATAATTGGATCCGCCTTAAGCTCTAATTACTCAGCTTGATTCCCTGGGTAGGAGATAATGTACCTTATATTGGTGTCGTCTTCTTATTTTTGTGAAACAGTGATTATTCTAAAGAGGTTCCTTGGAATAATTCACAGGACTTAATTAAGAAATGCACAATTGTGTACCTTTAAGATGCCTGTAAGGTTCTCTGGAATAATCTCCGGAAGAACTTGTGTGGCACCTGGGCAATATGGCAGCATCGGGTGGGGGGATTTTCTCCAAGAAAGACAAGCAGAAGATAGGGTTGCCAAGGGAGCATTGACCTTACGATTCTATCACGTTCAAGGATATGGTCCCTTGATTGCAAGCTTATTGATGCCCTCTTTTTGGGTTGAAGGCATTCTAACAAAGCTCATAGGGATCAAGTAGATGGGGAGGTCAGAGGAGAGGCCTGGATTCCTATCCAGTCTGAGTTTGAATCCTGCCTCTGCCCTTCCTAGCCATCTGACTTTACATATAATAATATATAAAAATATATTTATTATTTAAAATATATATTAATGTATAATATATAAAATATGTATAATATATTATATATTATATTGTAATATATATATTAGTACAGCATCTCCTTGGCACATAGTAAGTGCTATATATATAAGTGTTAGCTATTGTTTTCTGTGTCCAATGCTTGTTTATTAATATGTCCTAAAAAATTAAGACCTTAAACATCTGAATGTGTTTGGAAGTTATTAGAGAACTAAATAAAAATAGAAAATGTTCTACGATTACACATCTAACTGTCTAGTTTCTATTCGTTTTTGCAGAATTTTTATTTGCGTATAGAGCAATTAGCATTTTGAGAAGAAATAATCTTCTCAAATTCTAGCAAGTCATAAGCTACTAAGAAAAAGAAAGGTTGATAAAGGTCTTCTGGGAAAATAATAATAATAGCTAACATTTTTCAAGTGCTTGCTTTACGCTAGGCACTAAACACTTCACATGCCTTGCTCATGTGATCTGCACAACAACCCTATATGATGAAGACTATTACTTCATCCCCATTTTATAGATAAGAAGCCTGAGACATGAAAAGTTTTTAAAAGCTCACTTAGCATCATATAGCTAGTGGTCAAGGGCAGTGTTTGGACTCAGGGCCAGTGCTCTTAACCACTGCCTTTCCATTGAAGGGACTATTTCTCAATTCATTATTGCCTTTGGTAGATCAAAGCATAGCTCCCAATGGATGAGCTAGGGCAGAAACTAGATCCTATGTGGAAGATGGTTCAGAAAGCATGAAAAAAGCAAAGGGAGAAAATCAGATGCCCTGCAGTAGAGACGTACCTGTCACAGGGGCCAGAGAGCTGGAACCCGTGGGCCAGGTCCCAGGTCAGCTTCAAAGTAGACATTTCCACACACAGCTTCGGGGACTCTCCTTTTCATATTTAATTGTCCATAGGGTCACTCAGCCTTTTTCCAAGCAGAGAACACCTTGACTGTCAAGGCTCTTGGCTCCTAAAGGACCAATCCCATTCCTGCCCTGTCCCTATGAGATGACATTGAAGTCCCGTGGGTTAGAGTTGGGGTACTCTGGGTCACATATCTACAAGCCACCTCTTGGTCTATACCCACAGATGGCTAATCACAGCCACTGGGGTACGGTTTTGTTAGACATTCAGAGGACAGTCTTACTTCTCAGAATTGAAGATTCTTAGGAAACATTTCGCTGTCACCCCCACATACTGACAGCAGTCATTAACTAAAGTGCACTTGCCAAAGTCTCAGCCCTGATATTGTGTGGAGCCATACAAATATGCTAAATTCTGCAGATACAGTGTCAATCCAATGGTGTGCCAGTGTCTATTGGTTATCACTTCTGAAGCAGAGATCCTATTGAAATGATGAAACATGCATATGTATAAAGAAACTGTCTTCCAACAGAAACTTAGTGAACAAAAAGTCAAGGTCCTACAGGACCTGGGCTGAAGGATCATTACATGCAGTTGTGGACAATCCCCGGAGGCAGCAGACCCATGAGGAAATCCAACAATTAGCAAAGCAGATCACATTAAGAAAGTCTTTAATTTATAAGCAGAGAGCAAAGGGATTTCTCTTAACTGTGTATGCCTACTTAATTATCTCTAGCTCTTTCATTAAGGTCTTTACATTCTTTGCTTGCTTGGTGAGTCAAATCAAATCCATCAAAGAAAGGGAGAAAGAAACTAGTGTCTATTATTTTTTCTCAGCTGAAGCTGTTCATCCATGGGGGGAAAATTAACAACAGCGAAGATAAAAGGCCCTGGCAATCATTATTTTCTAAAAGAAACATAAAACATTAAGTTACTTACCATTAGGAACAGAGAAACATAAAATATTCAAAAAGGTGACCTATAATAACCACATGCATGCACATGCTCACTTTAATACCATGTCACAAACGATGGAGAGAGACAGAGAAGGAGCTCACAGAAGGGAGGAAAATGTGGGAGAGAAGGGATAAAGAGAAAAAGCAGACTAAGGGGAGATGGATGGATGGAGGCTGATGGATGGAGAGTAGAAATGGGAGAGGGCAGCTCAGGAGATCAACACGGCAGGAAGTCACTGATATTGGGCAAGACTGGCTATGGTTAGCAGAAGAGGGGTGAGTTGACACTTGTTCTCACTGCCCTTGGAAAACCTGGTTCATTTTCAATAGGCTTTTCCTCATAGGAAACAGTGTGTCTGTTTTTAGTTTCAAACTTAGAAATTTATTTTTTTTAAATGTTTAATGTTTATTTTTGAGAGAGAGAGAGGAGAGAGAAAGAAAGAGAGCATGAGCAGGGGAGGGGCAGAGAGAGAGGGAGACAGAATCCAAAGCGAGCTCCAGCCTCCGAGCTGTCAGCACACAGCCCGACAGGGGCTCAAACCCACACCGCGAGGTCGTAACCTGAACCAAAGTCAGATGCCCAACCAACTGAGCCACTCAGGCGCCCCAAAATTTATTTCTTTAGATGGAAGCTAATTTTTCTTGGAACTCCAAGAGGTTTATTATGAGTGTATTCCCCTGAACTCTTGAATAAATCTTTAAGTTTACTATACTGTCTATATCTGAAAGCCCTTTTGATAAGGTAAAGCTACCAGTTGGCCTTATTTGGGTCTTTTGAGAGATTGCTCCCTCATTTAATAGTGCCTGGTGGCTACAATCATAACCTTAGCATCTATCTCTTACCTTAGGATCCCTTTTTCAAAACTAGTTGGTCATAATAATGGAAACGTAAAAAGGAAAAGTCTTTAGGAGTTACTAATTTATGCTACCTTTCTTGAAATATATGGAATAGGGCTTGTCCCTTAAATATCAGAGTGGCTCACCTAGGAATGATACCCAGGTTTCATGTGCATTAAGCAATGGAGAGTCTGGTCCTAAGCACCAAATGTATGCAAAAATAGCCAAGCAATGATTTTATTTTGGGTGGATTCAGACCTCTTCTTTGGTGCTGTTTAGAAATCCTGGAGCTATAAAGGCAGGTCATTTTTTAAATGCACCATTCTTTATCTGAATAAGCATAAAGAGAAACACCTACACACAAAACTCCGCTCATTGATATTTATGCAGACACATCCAACAGAAGGTCTTTCCTGGAGTGATACAGTCAATAGATTAAGAGCATGGGGTCTGGACTCCAAAAGACCTGAGCTCCAGTTCTGCCTGAAACACCTGCTAACCCTGGGACCTTGGGCTGGTTGTCTAACAGTTTCCTGACCTGCAGAAGGGTGTTAACCAGAGTACTTACCTCCTAGGGTTGCTAGGATGAAATGAGACAATGTATGGAAAGAGATCAGCACATATAAGGATTCTCTACAAATTAGTTATTCTAATGTTTCATGTTTTCATCTCCATCCTAGAACCCAGAATTCACTTCTTCTACCCATCACTGATTTTCTGTACTCGAACCAAATGAACCTAGCGAATTCCACAAGAAAGACTTGTAAAATGCTCTTCCTGACACTCAAAAAGATTTGTATACTGTCATTGCTCTTTATATAATATTTAAGAAAAAATGTCCAACTTGCAAAAAATTAAATAACTTTTATATTAATATCACTAGAGAAACTGAAGAAAAAGCAATGGAAGCAAGTTGCATCTGTAGTCATTGTTTTCATCTTGCAGGAAGCGGAACAGACTAAAAGCAACAATGCACAGTTAGGGATGTGGGCTTGACTATCAGAAATATTGAATTTATTCATGTAATCTCTCTTTTCCCACTTATCAGCTATTCACAGATAAAAATGGGGGCAGAGAGGGAATCTTGTTAATTTTTTCCTGGCTGCTTCTATGCTCAGAAGTAAGCTGAACTTATGAACATTTTCCTAAACCCCACCCCTCCGAAGTCTCTGAAAGCTTGATAAGAAGGGATGTGACCATATATGCATTTTTAAAAATAATTTTCAGCAATCCTTTATGTCTATCTACTCGTTCTCACTGCTCTTCTGCAAAGCTGCTCCTTCTGGTCCTGGCAATTTGGCCCCAGAGAACATTTCTTAGAGAAAACACACACGTGCATATTCCTCTTAAAATCTAGTGGAAAAACCGTATTGTGGGAAGAAAGGGTAGCTGAGTAAGTTTCATCCCTGGTTTCCCAAATATTCTGCCTTATTGGCCCCCCAGGTCTCCTCATATTGTTAAAGCAAAAGTTCTCAGTCTTTTTTATTTGCAAAACGTATAATTACTAAACTTAGAGGGATGTAAAAGTCCTTTAGAAGCCCAAGTAGTGGCCTGGCTCTGAGTGTTATTAATCAATGAAAACTGCCCCTCATCTTTTTTCCCCAAGCATGAAGGACAGGACAAGACCAAGATGGTGCTGCCTAGTAAGTAACCCGTATTTGCTTCCTAACTTAGTGACTCTCCTGACTGTTTCAGATTCCATGTTTGATGGGGTGACGGACAGACCAATTCTAGACTGCTGCGCCTGTGGAACCGCCAAGTACAGACTCACATTTTATGGGAACTGGTCCGAGAAGACGCACCCAAAGGATTACCCTCGTGAGTAGAGTAGCTACTTTATGGATTGGGGGAAGGTGCGTGGTGAAGTTCTGTCTGTCTGTGGGATACACCAGCTGAAGTATGTCAGGTCTGCTCCCTTTTACCAGTTGACTCATGAAATGCACATTCCCATGAAGTGAATTCATCGAGGCTAGCAGAGATAACACTGGTATGCTTTTCACTTCTTTGCACTGCGTTGTTCTGATCTGTGATTTAACAAAAATATTCCTAAGGTCATGCTGCTTATCTTCAGGTCAAGCATGTGATAACCTCAGTCCCCCGCAAAGTGGCCTTCTCCATGAATTATACAATAGGCCTATATGTGCTGCTAATAGCTGCCAAAAGGGACCTGCTCTTGACTCTACAGATCAAGGTCAACAAATGTTCGGCATCCTCAAACATAATGTTGGTGATCTATCTGCACACCCTTTCCCTACTGGTATCTAGAATCCTTCATGACACCATGCTCCAGAGAGCCAAAACCAGTCCATAAGAGTTATCAGGAGGGCTCAAGCTTGCTATTTGGACACAGATCGTTCAGCAGGACCCTGCCAACTCCCTTTTCTCATGCCATTGTCTCAACAAACGCCTAGTATGCACCAGACACTGTGCTAAGGTCTAACGATATTATAGTGAACTAAAAGAGACATGACCCATGCAACTCAGAGATTAGTAGGGAGACAGACACTAATCAAATAATCACACACAAAACTGTGAAAATTCTAACAGTGAATAGTGGACTTACTGTGTGCCAAGCATTTTTACATACGTGATGTCATTAAACCCTCAGAATAACCTGTTTTTGTGGATGAGCTCACAGGATATCAGAGAGATATCATGACTTGCCCACAGTCAGATGTAAGCTAGTAGTGCACCCAAGATTCAAAAAGGGGTTTGCCAGCCTCCTTGCCCTGCCTCTTAATTGGACTCTGCCTTTAAGACCCAGTGACGTTCATTCTCTCCAAATGGGGGTGGCAGGATGTTGGTGTGTGGCACTGAGCTGATCTTTCTGTTCATTGTCTGTTTTATTGTTCATTTCACTCTGGAGTTGCCACAGCTGGGAAAGACGAGTGAGATGGGGAGAAAGAGATTCAAAGGAGGGATTTGAATCAGCCCCAAAAGAAGGGGGAACAAAGGGTATGTGGTTGGGACTCAAGTAGACCTGCTCCAGACCAGAGCCTCCATGGTCCCCAAGCAGCCCACCCAGCAGATACGTGGCAGATCCAGAGCCCTATTGCTTAATTTTACCCACATGTAATTAGGACTTGGGATCTTAGAGGCTCCTTACTAGTTTCTTCTTCTCACTCTGGGATCCAGCTTGATCTGCTTCAGCTGGTGTGGGAGACCTGCATGAACAAAGTTGGAATCTGCCTGGCGGGGAAGAAACCACTTGGAACAAATATGATGGAAAAAAATGTCCTCCAGTGCCTCCCATCCCCTAGCCCAGAGGAAATAAGATGTTAAGGGCCCATTACTTATCTTCGGTAACCCTAAGGAGCTTCTTGCTCTTTTCTGTTCTGACACTGTTATTGCCCAGAATTAAAAACAAAAACAAACAGCAACAACAAAAAAGGGACAGACCATTGTTTCTGGGCCTTTGGGCCAAATCAAGTACAAATCTGTATCAAATTTCAGTGGAGTTGTTGGGAGTTTCTTAATAAATAGAGCAGACATGTGTTCTAGATCCCTCAGGATTGTTCCAGTGTCAGATGTCAGGGTGTCTTAATTTTTGGTTGGAAAATTTGGTCACTAGGTACAGAGGAGGATGATCACATCAGACTGTAATTATTTCTTCAGGATTCTTCTCCGTCACAAAGAGAAGTCCTCCAGGACAAAAGCCAGGACATGCTCATCTTTCATGTAGTGCCTCGGGAGTGGCTTCCCGAGTACTGTGTGCTGATTGTTGAACTCAGGAGCATTCACTGTGACCTGGGAGGCAGATTTCTAGCCCACATCTAGTCACAATGGCCGACATGGATGAGGAATTGTAGGCCAGACCTTCCTTGGAGGGACAGGGATGGACTTCTATATATAAGCTCAGAGGATTGGAGCCAGTCAGAAGGGCACAGAGATGGTCTAATAAGAACTTTGAAAATTCAGTGCTGGCAAAAGTGATTTCTACTAATCTTAGGTAATAGGTGACTTTCTTTTGACTGCTCCAGGAATGATTTTGTCTTGATTAATCCACCCTTGCCATTAAGCCCAATTAAGCCACGATGCTTCCCAACAATAGTGGAAACTAATAGATATCAAGTCTCCCTTCCCTTCATTAATTACTTATCCAAAATACCACTTTCTCCACAAAGATCTCAGAGCAGCAATTCCCAAGCTTTTTCATTTCAAGATGCTTTTTACATGCTTAAAAATGAATGAGAACTTCAATATCCTTTTGCTGATATGGGTTGTGTCTATCACTATTCACCAAATCAAAAATTAAAACAAGTTTAAAATATGACTTTTTAATTAATTTAAAATGTAATGTATCAGGGCACCTGGGTGGCTCAGTCAGTTAAGCTTCCGACTTGGCTCAGGTTATGATCTCCGGGTTCGTGAGTTCGAGCCCTGCATCGGACTATGTGCTCACAGCTAGGAACCTGGAGCCTGCTGCAGATTCTGTGTCTCCCTCTCTCTCTGCCCCTGCCCTGCTCATGTTCTATCTCTCTCTCTCTCAAAAAATAAATAACGGGGCGCCCGAGTGGCTCAGTCGATTAAGCGTCCGACTTCGGCTCAGGTCGTGATCTCACGGTTTGTGGGTTCGGGCCTGCATTGGGCTCTGTGCTGACAGCTAGCTCAGAGCCTGTTTCAGATTCTGTGTCTCCCTCTCTCTCTGACCCTCCCCTTCTCATGCTGTCTCTCTCTCAGAAATAAGTAAAACATTTTAAAAAATTTAAAAAAAATAAATAAAACGTCACATATAATGAATTACCAAATAATAAACTCATTACATGTTAACATATTTTATAAAAATAACTATATTACCTAAAACAAAAGAAATTTAGTGAAAGAGCACCATTTCACATTTTTGCAAATCTCTTTAATATCCTGCTTAATTCAAAGACACCTAGAGTGTCATATTTGCCTCTGCATTCTCCCTGCTGTGGTGTGTCTTCTTAGTTGAAGTATATGAAGAAAATTCTATCTCACACAGATATGTAAATGGAAAAGGAAAGAATATTTTAATAACTTTTTCATTAATTACAGATGATCTTTTTTGATACTACACCAAAACTCTACAAATGGTAGTTTCTTTTCTTTCTTTTTAATCTTTATTTATTTTTGAAAGAGAGAACACAAGCAGGGAAGGGCAGAGAGAGAGGGGTACAGAGGATCCTGAAGCAGGTTCCGTGCAGACAGCATAGAGCCCAACGGGTTTCAAACTCACGAACCACGAGATCATGTCCTGACATTTACCTGACTAAGGCTTCCCAGGCCCTAAGCACATGGTAGTTTCTTAAAGGATAATTACAGTGTAGAATATGAAACACTGTCAGGGAACTTGTACTCTGTTACATTAAAATACATTGCTTTACTTTGCACTTTGGATGGATCTTTTACAAATGAATGATTTTGTAACACCATACATTGGTCGTTTTAAAAACCTTAACTTACTGAGTTATGCCGATGGTCCACATGTTGAGATATTTCATTATACAATCTTGAAAATCATGTTCATTAATATCGTTTTAAGAAAAGTGCTGAAGTATTGGAAAGTTATCAAATTCATAGTAACAGACACAAGTTTTCCAAAATTCTAAGTTTTGCTTGAAAGTTCAAATTTTATCATTGGCAACAGATACTGTCGGTTGTTTTCCTTGAAATGACAGGCTCACTTCATTTTTGAGAACATGTCTGTCGCATTCTCCAGCCTGAATAACCATAATCTGTCTGTCACTTGTTCTTTCTTTTCTTTTTTATGTTTAAAAAAAGTTTAATGTTTATTCTTGAGAGAGAGAGAGAGAGAGAGTGTGTGTGTGTATGAGCAGGGGAGGGGCAGAGAGAGAGGGGGACAGAATCTGAAGCAGGCTCCAGGCTCCAAGCTGTCAGCCCAGAGCCCCATGCAGGGCTCGAGCTCACAAACTGTGAGATCATGACCTGAGCCGAAGTTGGACGCTTGACCAACTGAGCCACCCACGTGCCCCTGTTACTTGTTCTTTCAAGTAAAAATGATGTTTAGGAAAATAAGTGTCCAGTCCATCTTGCACCTCCAGCAATGCAGAAGAGCACTTATTTACACAAGACAATCACAGCACCTGGGTATCTACGGAAGTGCTTTATGCACGGTTTCCCAGTTAGTCACATGGAATAGGAAGAAAAACGTGTACTCAGAAGGTACAGAGATTTCATAAAATTAATAATTTGTACTGTTTCATCTAAAACATTCTTCGGTGAAACTGACTCTTTAAATGGTTTATTGCAGGGGTGCCTGGGTGGCTGTCGGTTAAGCAGCTGGCTTTGGCTCAGGTCATGATCTCACAGTTCATGAGTTCAAGCCCTGTGTCAGGTTCTGAGCTGTTAGCTCAGAGCCTGGAGCCTTCTTCAGATTCTGTGTCTCCCTCTCTCTCTGACCCTCCCGTGCTCACGCTCTCTCTCTCAGAAATAAATAAATGTTTAAAAAAAATTTAATGGTTTACTGCAGTTTCTGGCATTGAGCACACTGCCAGCAGTTCAGGGTCACTGCTTTGGTGGGCACTAAGTGACAGCAGTTTCACTCAGCACTGCTTTGCACCATTGAGGTGAATGTCAACATGTTGCAAAAGAAGATGTCTTAGTATTGCTGTGAAAATAGTTTGCACCTCATAGATGCCCTGCAAGGGCCTCAGGGTACCCAGAGGCCTGTAGACCACGCTTTTGAGAACCTCTGCAATAGGATAACATAGCAACCTAGGGTGTCTGACCTTCAGTTTGGGGTAACTTGCCCTTGAGAATTCACATCAGGCTCTACAAGAGGATTGGGCAATGCCCTTGTGTTTTGTACATTTTCTCAACAACTATACAAGTTG